ACATTCAACCGAGACTGCCTTGCTCTCAGTTGTTGAAGCCCTAAGACTGGCAAGAGCAGATTCCAAATCTTCAATACTTAACTTGCCGGATCAGTCCACCGCTTTTGACACGATTAACCATCAGATCCTCCTGTCAACCTTATTGGCAAAGGGCATCTCATGAACCACACTCCAGTGGTTTGAGTCTTACCTCTCAGATAGGTCCTTCAAGGTATCTTGGAGAGGTGAGGTGTCCAAGTCGCAACATATAGCTACTGGGTTGCCTCAGGGCTCAGTTCTTGGACCACTTCTCTTCTATGTCTACATGGCATCACTTGGTTCTGTCATTCAGAAACATGGCTTTTCATATCACTGCTATGCTGATGACACTCAACTCTACCTCTCATTCCATCCTGATGATCTGACGATAGCTGCTCGCATCTCAGCAATTTCACCATCCAGTTAGGCACATCAAACATAACTCCTTCAAAAACAGCTAGAAACCTTGGAGTTATGATTGATGATCAGCTGACTTTCTCAGACCACATTGCTAAAACTGCCCAGTCCTGCAGATTTGCTTTATTCAACATCAAGAAGATGGCCCTTTCTTTCGGAACATGCTTCACAACTCCTTGTTCAAGCTCTTGTTCTATCCGGGCTGGACTATTGCAATGCTCTATTTGCAATTCTTCCAGCCAGTTCTATCAAACCTTTACAATGAATCCAGAACGGGGCAGCAAGATTAATTTTTAATGAGCCAAAAAGAATGCACGTCACACCTCTGTTTATCAATTTGTACTGGCTACCAATAGCTGCTCGCATAAAAGTCAAGGCATTAATGTTTGCCTACAAAACCACCACTGGCTCTGCACCCATTTACCTAAATTCATTACTTCAGACTTATGTGGCCTCTAGAATCTTGCGTTCTGCAAGTGAACGGCGCATTATTGTGCCATCCCAAAGAGGCACAAAATCACTTTCATGGACTTTAAAATTAAATGTTCCCTCCTGGTGGAATGACCTGCCCAACTTAATACGAGCAGCTGAGTCCTTAGCCGTCTTCAAGAATCGGCTAAAAACACTCCTGTTCCATCTTTAGTTGACCATCTAACACTCTGACTCTATTCTAATTCTATTCTTTAAAAAAAAAACTTGTCCCTTTTAGACTTGCACTTTATTCGTTTACTGCTTGTTTTCTTAAAAAAAAAAAAAAAACTAACACTAGCTTTTCTAATCTTTTTGTATTCTATCTATTTGTTTTCTTTTTATTTATTAAACAATTAACAAAGCAAAAAAGACCTCTAATACTAGCTTGCTCTATTCTTTTTCTATTCTATCTGTTTTATTTATTTTTATTTATTATATAATATAAAAAAACTTGCTATGTTTACTGCATTAAGCTAACTGAGACTTGTTATAGCACTTGCATATCATTGCTCTTTTGTTGATTTTGATTGCTTCCATTGTCCTCATTTGTAAGTCGCTTTGGATAAAAGCGTCTGCTAAATGACTAAATGTAAATGTAAATTTATTATGATAAATGAGCAATGACAACTTATTAGTAATGATAAATGACTAATAATGTGTTTTAATAAGGATAAATAAGTAATAATTTGTTATTTATAATGATAAATGAGTAATAATCTATTATTAATACTGATAAATTAGTAAAAAATTACCTGCCAAGCTTCATCTAGCCAGGAGTGGCACAAGGTAGAGAAACTTTGAGAAGCCACATTTTACTGAAACCATTAGTTATTCTGTTCACCTCTCCAGTTTTCACTATTTCTGTGAGGACCACTATCGTTAAAGATGATTGACAATTAGCATACAGTTTGGATTGGTGGTATGGTTCTGTTTTGGGCAAGAACTCTCTGCTCATCCATGCAGCCTAGCATGGATGAGAGAAGGGAGAGCAGCGATAACCCCCCAGGGTAGACAGAACAGAACCAACATTAATGTATTGCAGATATCGTTAAAGTTCAATAATTTTATGTACACATTTTAGAATTAGCCTGATTCAAAGGATAATCAGAAGGCTGAATCCTGACTGACAGAGGAGGAGCTGGGGATGGAGGAGGGTAATTAGCTATTGAGCAATGCAAAAACTGCTGATAATACTGAGGGACCTTAAATATGAATGCTTAGATAGGTGTCGTATTCCTATAGGTAGATGGGGATCAGCTGAGAGTCAGCTGATGCGAGCTTGACTAACGTGACCTGCCAGAACTAACGCTACGCTTGATATTACTTCACCCTGACTGGGTCGGCCAAGTTTCTGATCACTCAATAGGTTTAATTTCTGTGTAAATGTCGGCGGTCATGCTGATGCATTGTGTGTGATGTCACAGAGCTGCACAGACTTAGCTGTTTTTGCAGTTTAGTTTTTAGATGGGCAGGAACTTTGGGTTTTGAAATGTACACTACAATGAAGACATAAAAGAGCAAGAGAGATAATGCTTCTTGTGTTGAAAAAAAGAAAAATAACAAAAAAACAATAAATGTGTCTTGTCACTACTCGCTGTCCTCTCGGCCTTCTGTTTTTTGACATCCAAGATATAATTATACACATCATAGGATGATTATACATCTCCTCAGGAATCTGGACAGCTGCCTCTACTTTAGCCTAGTCAAACCCATTATCAAAGCGATTTCTCTAAAAAGCAACACAAAAATCTTCCTTTTGTTAGAAATGACTGCAACATTATCAATACTTTCTATACTGATGTTGGAAGATGAATCCTTGCATAAACATATCGATCCTATTCGTTAATTTGCTAAATACATACTGAAAATTACTAATAGTTTAACTATGTGCAAGGAGGCAGGAGGAATTATTACTTTCAACTTAGTTTCTGCTTGTCTTTAAGCATGTTGCAAGATTTATAACACATAAATTGTCCATGTTGGACATGATTGAGTTCAATGTGAAGACGCTTTATATTGCCATAGACATATGGCCAGTATCTGTTTTAGATCCTGATTTGAACAGAACTGAACCAAACCACTTTATCAAAAGATTGTCTTGACATCATGTGTGCAGCAAAATTATTTTCAATCTTAGACTATATACAAATCTGATGTCATAGCTGTTTAAAATTAGGCCTTAAACTAGAGTAGTAAAAGTAGAAGTAAAAAAAAGGGAAGAGAATGAAAAGTCCCCATGAAATAAAGAGATGTTTTGTAGCTTTTAGCAATAATATGTTAGTTTATAAGCTAGTGTGCTCCTAAAAATGACAAAAAATAGCATTTTATAATTAGCTTATTGATTATAAAGATCAATATAAATCAACCAATACAGATCAATAATTCTACACTTCATATTATCTGTCCATTCAAATGCTTTGTTAAAAGAAAACACAAAAGCTGCTTCTGAAATTGGTCTCTTGTTCACACATTTACTATTTTCTATATGGAAAATGGCACATTGTGTAGATAGGGTGATAGTGAACGATTCAGTGTAAATATGCTTTCTGTTGTTGTTGTTGTGTGTTTTTTTTTCTTCTTTGATTCGCGTGTCAGTATTATATGGTCTGGTTTCTGCTCAAGTGTACACTCTAAAAATGCTGGGTAAAATATGGACAAACCCAGCGAGTTCAACCAACAGTTGGGTTAAATGTTTAACCCAAACGCTGGGTCAAAACAACCCAATCACTGGGTTTGTCCATATTTTTCGCAGCGCTGCATTGTATTTAACCTAGCATTTTTTAGAGTGTATGTTTGTACAACACATTTCTGTTCACAAAGCAACTATCTTGTTAGCCAAAAGAACAGCCAGCACTTTAATTTGCCAGCAGCCATGGATAAATGCATACATCCCCATATGCCTTCTGGTTGTCCATGCAATGGCTGGTATCTTTTGTGTTTAGCTCCTTGGAGGCCGATAAAAGCCTGTCCATAGTGTTGTTATCCATCTTGCTGAAAAGCTGCCATTGACACCATGCACTTTAGAGGAAGTATAACACAGTGAGGAGACTTTAAATATCTCCACTTGCTATCTACCTCTTTTCTCTAGCTAGCACCTTCCATCCAACTCATTCCTACCATGTACCGTCAACGCACACCAAATTACAGTCATGGCCAAAAAATTTTGTGTTTTGCAAAGTTTGCTGCTTAAGCTGTTGTGATGCTCATTCACATTGTTTCTAGATTATTGTGTAGAGTGATTAGATGCATTTTAAATAATCGCTTAAAGCTTCATTGGCCAAAAAATGAACTTTTCACAAAAAAACAAACAAAACAAATTACAGTGTTTTTTGATCCTGACACAAAATGACCAGCTAACATTAATTGACTAATCATATCAGCAGCACATGTGAAAGTGTGAATGAGTACTAGTCAGGTAAAATCACTATCATACTAATTAGATTGTAAGAGCAGACTGATTGCTATAAAAGGAGGGAAGAAGTGCTTCCAATCATTGTGTTCTTGTTAGCAATGGTTACCGCCAAATAATCACGTGCAGCCATCATCGATTTGCATCAAAATGACATCACATGCAAGGAAATTCCTACAAAGAATATTGCATCTGAAAGAACCATTTGACGGATCTTCAAGAACTTCAAGGAGAGAGGTTCGACTGCAGTGAAGAAGTCTTCAGGACGTCCCAGAGTGTCCAGCAAGCGCCAGGACTGTCTCCTTCTGAGGAGTCAGCTACAGAACAGGACCATCTCCTCCTGAGGAGTTAGCTACGGAATCGTGTCTCCAGCAGTGCAGAGCTTGCTCAGGAATGGCAGCAGGTTGGTGTGAGAGCATCTGCACGCACAGTGAGGCCAAGACTTTTGGACAACAGCCTGGTGTCAAGAAGGGCAGCAAAGAAGCCCCTTCTCTCCAAGAAAAACATCAAGGACAGACTGAAATTCTGCAGGAAGTACAAGGATTGGACAGCAGAATACTGGTGCAGTTATTTTCTCTGATGAAGCTCCCTTCCGGCTGTTTGGGACATCTGGAAAATCGATTGTTCGGAGAAGAAAAGGTGAATGCTACCATGAGTCCTGTGTTGTGCCAACAGCGAAGCATCCTGAGACCATCCATGTGTGGGGTTGCTTTTCAATCAAAGGAGTGGGCTTTCTCATAAATCTGGCCAAACACACTGCCATGAATAAAGAATGGTATCAAAACGTCCTGCAAGAGTGACTTCTTCCAACGATCCATGAGCAATTTGGTGATGATCCGTGCATTTTCCAGCATGATGGAGCACCATGTCACAAAGCAAGAGTGACAAAGAAGTGGCTCAAAGATCATTACATTGAAATTTTGGATCCGTGGCCAGGCAACTCCCCGGATCTGAATCCCATAGAGAACCTGTGGTCAGTCCTCAAAAGACGAGTGGACAAGCAGAAGCCCACAAATTGTGATCAACTCCGAGAGCTAATAAGGCAAGCACGGATCGCCATCAGTCAGGATTTGGCCCAGAAGCTAATATCCAGCATGCCAGAGTGAACTGCAGAGGTCATGAAGGACAAGGGTCAACACTGTAAATATTGACTCATTGTAATTTTTTGCCAATAAAAGCCTTTAAACCTTATGATATGCTTTTCATTGTTTTTCCACATAGACACATGTGGAAATATAATCTACAAAAACTGAAGCAGCAAACTTTGCAAAACACAAAATCTATGTCACTGCCAAAACTTTTGGCCACGACTGTACACGTTAAGACTGATATCTTGCAGATGGATCTCACAAAAAAGCCTAGAAAAAAATATATACATATTCAAACTCACACATTGTGAGTTTCAGTTTACAACTTAGAGACAGCAATGTTTTTTTCACATACTGAAAAAAAGATTTCCTCAAATTATATTTATGTTTAGACCTTAAATTAAAAAAAAAAAACTTTCCCAAAGAGCTTTCATTCAAAGTAAAAAGATTATTTAATATAAAGACCATACTTAATATATCTTCTATAGACATAAGCCAAAATTTTAATGTAGGTATTGTAACGGGGCGACAGAGACGTGAGACGTGTGGATCCATGTGCAAGCTTTATTCTGAACAGAAGACGTGGTAGTAACAGGCAGGGTCAACCAATGGCAAACAGGTATATGGCGGGCAAAACAAAAGAATAGTCCTAGGGCTAGCGTAGGTCGACGATCGGCAGACAGAATCACAGGGCGAGACTAGAGGGATAAATCCAGGGAGACAGGCAGAGATCAGAACCGAGAAAACGTAGATTACGAGTAGAGAGCCAGGGCGAAGCCGACCGTACAGGTGGAGCAGAGAACCACCAGAGCCAGACAGCAGACCACCATGGCAGGGCAGAAGACCACCACGGCGGGGCAGAAGACCACTACAGCGGAGCAGAAGACCACCACGGCGGAGCAGAAGACCACCACGGCGGAGCAGAAGACCACCACGGCGGAGCAGAAGGAACAGGGAACCCCCCCGGTGAACCACACCGATTAGGAGACCATGGCGGAGACTGTAATAATGAAAAAGCAGAGACAGACAACACAGACAGAACATTGGGGTTGACATAAGGCTGGGTGTTCAGAGGCAGCCTTTTTGGCTGGGTCGGGACAGGACAAAAGTTCACAAACAACCTCCTTGGCAGACACAAAGAATTCACAAACGGCCTCCATAGGCAGGACAGGACAGGATGAGGATTCCCCGACGGCCTCCATAGCCGTGACAGGACGAGCAGGGAGTTCGCAAACGGCCCCTATAGCTATGACAGGACAAGCAGGGAGCTCGCAAACGGCCTCTATAGCTGTGACAAGACGAGCAGGGAATTCGCAAACGGCCTCTATAGCTGTGACAAGACGAGCAGGGAATTCGCAAACGGCCTCTATAGCTGTGACAAGACGAGCAGGGAATTCGCAAACGGCCTCTATAGCTGTGACAGGACGAGCAGGGAGTTCGCAAACGGTCTCCTTAGCCGTGACAGGATAGACAGAGAGTTCATAGGCGGCCTCCTTGGCCAGAACAGGACAAGCAGAGAGTTCATAGACAGCCTCCTTGGCCGAAACAGAACAGGCTGAGAGTTCATAGGCGGCCTCCTTGGCCGGAACAGAGAGTTCTGTTCCTCCTTGGCTGGAACAGTATGAGCAGAGAGTTCATAGACGGCCTCCTTGGCCAGAACAGGACAAGCAGAGAGTTCATAGACAGCCTCCTTGGCCGAAACAGAACAGGCTGAGAGTTCATAGGCGGCCTCCTTGGCCGGAACAGAGAGTTCTGTTCCTCCTTGGCTGGAACAGTATGAGCAGAGAGTTCATAGACGGCCTCCTTGGCCAGAACAGGACAAGCAGAGAGTTCATAGACAGCCTCCTTGGCCGAAACAGAACAGGCTGAGAGTTCATAGGCGGCCTCCTTGGCCGGAACAGAGAGTTCTGTTCCTCCTTGGCTGGAACAGTATGAGCAGAGAGTTCATAGACGGCCTCCTTGGCCAGAACAGGACAAGCAGAGAGTTCATAGACGGCCTCCTTGGCCGGAACAGGACAGGCAGAGAGCTCATAGATGGCCTCCTTGGCCGGAACAAGACAGGCAGAAAGTGCGTTGCTGAGCGCCACCACCACGCAAGGAACTGAGGCAAGTGTCGCCATCTCGGGAGGTTCTGCAGCATGTGCCGCCACCTCTGAAGAGACTGCAGTGGGTACCATGGCCTCTGGGAGCACAGCAGCGGACACTGCTACCTCGGGAGGTTCTGCAGCGTAAGCCGCCACCTCTGGAGATGTTGTAGCCGGTACCGCTGCCTCTAGCAAATCGGCGGTGGAGTACGCGGCCCAGATGCACCATAAAGCGATCCCCATTGTGGGAAGCACTACAGACAGGGGAAATAGTTCAGGGACTGGATTCGTGACAGAGACTGGAGGGCTTGAGAGCGCTGGTTTAGTGATGCCAGCTGCATGTGCCGACACCAGCGGTGGGTCCTCCACGCTGGAAGCCAGTCTGGGATACTGAAGAACAGTCCTTGATCTGGGTGCAACAGACAGGAAGTGACAGGATTTTGAGCAAACAGACGTGATGTGACGTGACTCTGGATGATCAGCTGTGATGGGACGTGACCCTGGATGAACAGCTGAGATGTGACGAGACTCTGGCAGATCAGCTGAGACTTGACTAGACTCGTGAAGATCTGTGATGACTTGACTAGACTCATAATAATGAACGGTGACTTGACCTGACTCATGATGATCAACCGTGATTTGACTGAACTCAGGGAGATCAGCTGTGACTTGACTGGACTCATAACGATCAACTGAGACTAGACCTGACTCATGACGATCAGTTTTGACTTGACTAGACACATGAATATCAGCTGTTATTTGACCAGACTCACGAAGATCTACTGCGAGTTGACTTGACTCAGGAGGATCAATGGTGACTTGACTGGACTCAAGATGGGCAGCTGTGACATGACTGGGTGCTGTTGTATTCACCATCTTGTGAGCGTGCTCCGCTGTCGCCGCCATTTTGTGAGCAACAGCTGTGTGCAATCTGTGCTGAGTGCAATCAGTGCAATGAATGATGGGATATGTAGTCCGAGGTGATGTGCAACAGTGTGTAGTGCGAAACTCAATGAAATTGGAAAGGGTGACCTCTGATGGCTAGCAGATGGAAGTTCATGGACCGGATTCGTGACAGGTATATAGCAATTGTTTGTTTTTTTGCATCTTGAGCTTACTGTAAACAATCTAGCAACAATATGAAAGCAAAATTATTAAGATAAAACTAAAAAACATTTTTTTTGTTCATTTTTACATTTTTCATATTATTTCAATATAATTTTCTTTTAAATATGCAACATATTTGGTTATATATAAACAAACAAACACCATGTGTTGAACTGTTTTAAACCAGAAACCATTATTTTTTTATTAAACCAATAATAATAACGTGCAAATAAGCACTTTAAATAAATTATGCGTTCACATTCACTTTTGTAATGAATGGAGGCGACAACGGAGTGGGGATCCAATTGCACTGTTAAATTACAGTAAACTGGCAGCTATATTTACCAGCATAAAGCTGTTATTCTACAGTATACCTGCTGTAATCTGAAAGCAACAAAAGATTATTACTGTAAAAATATTACAGCACCGTGCTGTAGAAAATATAAGCTTTACAGTATAATACTGTCATTACGCTATTATTTTAGTATTCCAACTGTAATTTCATAAGCTCTTTATTACTGTAAAATGTATTAAAGTACTGTAGAATGTGATCTTAACATTAACACTGCTAGAAGCTAATGATTTAAAATGTACTTTCTAAAATTAAATACAACTTAAAATTATTTTAATTCAAATTGCTCGAAAAAGAGATGGCTTTAAAACATTAGGCTTTTAAAGCATTATCAATGACACTGTTTCACTGAACAGAACAAAATGCTATGACTTGAAATGAACATCTGGTTGCAGATCATGTGACTTCACCTTACTAAATACTGTCCCACTCAAAGTTCATAAGGTTTTTATAAAACCTTGCCCTGTCTTCTTCAACACCAAAATCACTTGGCTGGCCTTTGTTTTCCTCTCGAGGATCACACCAATGAAGTGCCTAAAATGTAATAATAGAGAAATATGGGCTGCTAGGTGTGGCAAGTAAAGATTAATTGGGGTCTTACTGTGTATGAGAGAAATAAAGAACAGCGAATCCATGTGAACAGTGAATCTGTATATTTTCTGAAACGATGACCTCATCAGCCCACGTCTCGCCCCTAGTCAGACACCGCTACGTCACGTAAGAGCAATAAAAACATGAACAAACACTGAAAGATTGTCTTTTTATTAACTAACATTAACACAGATTAATAAATGTATTGTTCCATGTTCATTTGTATACTGCGTATACAAGGTTTATGCACATAGTCCAAGTCTTCTTCTCCGTTTTTAGTGTATCTCTGTGGCAGAAGTTACTGCCACAGACTGGTCTGGCATGTATACTACATCGTTTTGTGTCGGTTTTGTGGTTTCGTGTGGACGCAGATATTTCTTGAGACGAGGGGAAAAATAGATCGGATAGGGAAAGCTCTGGCTTCGTGTGGACGTAGCCTTAGTCTTTGCATGTTCGACTTGCAAACACTGAGTCGGTACTTCCGCCTGCGTGTGACCTTTTCAGCGTGATTACGTATTACGCAAAGTTGTGGACGCGCATCGCAGAGCAGTGCAAGGGGAGCATTTCTGTTTATAAAGCATATACATTTTTTTTTTTAGAAAATGACAGATCGTTTCGCTAGATAAGACCCTTATTCCTCATCTGGTATCGTGTAGAGCCCTTTGAAGCTGCACTGAAACTGTAATTTTGACCTTCAACCATTTGGTAGCCATTGAAGTCCCCTATAAGGAGAATAATCCTGGAATGTTTTCATCAAAAACCTTAATTTCTTTTCAACTGAAGAAAGAAAGACGTAAACATCTTGAATGACATGGGGTGAGTAAATTATCAGGAAATTTTAATTTGTAAGTGAACTAATCTTTTAAAGCATTACAATGAGCATAGACACAACTTGTATGTCTTGATTTTTCACATGTAATTGAACATACACTACCAACACTAACTGCCAAAGTTTGGATTTAGATTTGTTATACTCACCAAGGCACTATTCATTTGATCAAAGCAAGACAGAGCTAGAAAGTACCATGGGGATCAGGTGAACATGGTGGAGCCGACAACCCTGATGATCAAGGCACAGCTGGCAGTGCAGAAGATCATAGCAGGGCCGGTCCAGGTGCCCCTGTACAGGGAATTAAGGGAAAGAGGAGGCAGCAGAGCAGGAGAACAACAGAGAGGTGCCAAAGAAGCAGGTGTACACCAGGGAGGTGCCAGCAGGGCAGGCCAACACCAGGGTGGCACTGATGGAGCATGGGACCAAGGATGAGCCATTAAAGATGGAGACTAACACAGAGTGGGAAACTAAGGCTTCGCCGGCAGAGATTAAGAACACCAGGGTGGATCAAATGACCATGGTGGAGCTGGCAGCACAGGAGACCATGGCAGGGCTGGTTGAGGTGGGACAGGCCATGTTCCTTTAGTTCAGAGAGAGAACACAAGGAACTCAAATGCCCTGTGCCAAATGGCACCCTAAAACCCTCACGGTCTTCCTCTGAGTCCACACTTTTGTGACGTAATGCAGCTTTGTCTGCCGGGTAGAAGTTGGCTGCATAGCTCGCAGGCTTGTGGGCTCAGCAGAAGTGTGCATGGAGGGCGCATAGCGGCCGCAAAGGGGGCACTCGTGAGCACCCTTTTGAAAGCTAAAATGACGAATAGGACACCCTACAGTCTCGTGGACTTAACAGACACACACAACTGCCATTGTACCCAATGAAGCCAATGTGGAACTGTGAGGTGGAAGTGGTTCTGGAGAACCCTGGCGGGGCAGAGAACACCAGGGAGGTTCCAGGAGACCAAGGTTGAGCTGGTGGAGATGGAGACCAAGGCAGAGCAGGAGACCAAGATGGAGCTGGTGGGGATGGAGAGTTCCAGGGTGGATCAGGTGACCATGGTTGAGGCAACAGTGCTGAAGGTGGGGCTAGTGGAGATGGATGAGAATACCACAACAGTATTGACAGTGCAAAAAACCATGGCAGGGTTGGTCTAGGCAGGGCAGGCTATGCTCCTTAAATACCGAGAGGGAGCATGTAGGAAGTAGGAGGCAACAGAACACCAGGGAGGAGGAGGCACCAGCGCAGGGAAACAACAGAGAGGTGCCAAATTAGCAGGGGAACACCAAGGAGGTGCCAGAAGGGCATGGCTACACCAGAGAGGTGCCAGCGGGGCAGCAGAAAAGCAGTGTGGCACCGGTGGAGAAGGAGACCATTGCTGAGCTAGTGGAGATGGAGGTCAAGGCGGATCAGGAGACCAAGGATAAGCCAGCAGACATGGAGAGCACCAGAAAGTATCAGGTGACCATGGTGGAGCCCACAGTGCAGAAGAACAAGGCAGAGATGGTGAAGGAGGATGAGCCCACTACATTGGTGCTGACAGCACAGAAGACCATGGCTGGGCTAGTCGATATGGAACAAGCCATGCCCCCTTTAGTCTGAGAGGGAACACTGGGAACTCAGAGATGGCCACCATGACAAAGCAGGCATGGAACACAGGTAACTTGGGCACAACTTCTTAGCCATGGCAGAACAGAAAGGGAACACAGACAGGTGACCTAGTTGCCTCAAAGGGACCACTGAGAACACCAGACTTAGGACCAACAGGTTAGAGAACACTGAGGCCACCAGACTTGGGACCACCAGGCTTGTCTTTAATACACAGTCCAGTCCAGTGGTACATTGTCCCTAATAGACCTCTTAAGTCTTGTCCAAAACAATGTCTGAAGGACTCGTTCGGCCAAAACTCCAAGCAATAATCAACCAGGGGTAATAATAATCATCTGCTGGATCCATTTGTGTTGGTCGGTAGTTGTGTAATGAAGGTTGCACTCAGAAATGAGGGAAGGCAAGATCCAAATATGGGTGAACTTTATCAATAATAATAACAACCAAACAATAAAAAATAAAACATGATAAAATCAGGAAACAAGCCAACAGAACTGAGACCATTGCTGATACGTCATTGGACAACACCAGAAAATGAACACTGGAAACAAAGGCTTGTATAAACGGGGTGAACACGACTTAAGACATGTCTGGAAACCATTAAACTAATCACATGGGAAATAGGAACAGGAACCAAACAAAATTACAAACTAAAAGTCCAAGACAAGAGCACAGAAAAAACTATGAAAGTACCATATTTTCCACAAAAATGCGTAGTTCTCAACATTGATGATAATCAGAAGTGTTTCTTGATCAGCAATCCAAATAAGAATTATGTTTGAAGGAACATGTGACACTGAAGACCGGAGTAATGAAGCTGGAAATTCAGCTTTGCTTTACAGGAATAAATAACATTTTAAATATATAGAAAAACAGAATAGAAAAAAAAAATGTAGTTTGTGATAATATTTCACAATTTACTGTATTTAAGGTATTGCTCAAATAAATGCAACCTGATGTCTTATAAAAACATGAAAACAATCTTACCAAACCCAAACATTTGAACTGTAGTGTGTATTTCCAGATTTTGAATCCCAGATTTTCAATGTGGTCTTGGACATCTGAAGCTCACTGTTTACAGTATATCTGCATTGTATTTATGTTTTCTTTCTATCCCAAGTTTTCTGTTTTTG